AGTATCAGACATGGGGCCCACCAGCTCTGATGCCAACCACACCTTTCTACAACAGGGATATATTTTCTCCCAGGCCCAGGCCAGGAAATCTCCTGAGCTTCCTTTGTGATTCTGGAAGCAAATCTCTTCCTGACAGACAGTGGTCTCATCTCACCCCTGAATGCCTCTGGAAATGTGAGGCGAAGAAAACCCCTGGGGCCAAAGAAGAAAACGAACATAATTAAAAATTAATTTCAGTATAATGATTTAAGCTTTGTATCTTTGGTGATGTGGGGAAGACCTTTCTGCCTTGCTGCCCTAGGGACTCTTGTCAGTTTTAATAAGTTTTACCACACAGCTGTGAGGATGGCAAATTGAACAGCCCAAATAAAGACCACTTTTCACTGGACAGAAGCACAAATACTGAGGGAATCACATTTCTTTCTCTGTCACAGCAGAAAGGCTGTGGTACAGGTGGACTGCTCACCTTGCCTCAGCTGAGAGGCAGCAGCACTTCTGTCTTTCTGTGGTGGTCAGGTCAAGGCATGTGAGCAGATGGTTGATGCTACAGGACTGCCTTGAATATTTGTGATGGCACTGGCTGTGGGCAGTGGGGGAGGCAAGAGTGTGGGCAAGGTACCAGGCTTGAGTCCAGCACTAAGTACCCCCATCAGCCTCAGCTCTGAAGGCTACCAGCATTACTCTGTGGCCTTTTGCCTTTTTTTGCAGCCACTGCTGAATTCCCTGAACCACAACAGAGCGCTTCTTCCTCCTCAAGATTCATGCAGAACAAGGAATGGAAAAAGGCACGTGCCAGGGGCTTCTGCAACATCTTCTTTATGTTGGCAGTACTACCCATGGACATACTGCACAGCTCCCACTCTTTTTTGCTGGCCTTGCCAAATCCTTATTATCCTGTTTTCTGATGTTCCTTCCTCCCAGACTCTCCATCTCCTGTTCCCTTTCTTGAAGAGGCTGCATCTCTTTAAAGGCTTTGGCTGCCTGCCAGTCTGTTCTTTCTCATCCTGGTTCCCTCAGCTTTGTCTGAGGAAAGCACTGGCTTTCCTAAGGGCTGGCTTCTTCAGCTGTTTTTCAGCACATAGTACCACTGAAGTTGACATTACTTTGTAGTTCTTTGTACTTTGTAGTACTTTGAACCATACTTTGGTTCCATTCTGGCCTAGGAAGGGCAGTATACAAAAACTCAAGACAGATTTGTAGACTTAGTTGACTTCCAGCAACATGCTGGCTGCATCAATACCTCCCCTGATTACCTCATCAAAAGGCAAACCAGATGTTTCCCTGTGTAAGGAGAGAGCAGTGAGCACAAAGCATTGCTACAAAGCACCTTCGTGTCATGTGTTGCAACACATCCACCATCTCGGAAAGGCAGCCAGCTCAAGAGCACAAGGTGTCACACACGGAGCACAGGAATGGCTCCAGGTACTCTGGCCAAGTTGGAACATTTGGAACAACTCCTTTCTTTGTCTAAGTCTGTGCTGGGCAATTACATATAAGGGCCATGGTTTTTAGGTCTTTTCATGATCAGCACCCTGCAGATCAGACTTTGCAGGTACAGGTAGTAAGATACACCTTGTGCTGCAGAGCCTCTGGCATGAACCACTGCCATTGCCTTTCCCGGTGCATTGGCCACTCCCTTGAGCCAGAAAATGTACTTTACTGTATTTTACACAGTAGCAGGAGGATAGAGAAGACAGAAAGCTGGTTAATCCTGAGCTGTCTGGCAGATCCAAATGCCTTTATTTATAATTACTTTACCTTTGGTCCTCACGAAACAGATTCAGATTTTCAGGCTTCAGAAGTTTGAAATAATCCTGGTTAACCACATAACCCCTTCTCATCCAAAACTGCTTCCCAAAGAGCTCTGCAGGATATTCAGACACACAAATAGCTGTGAACAGAGCAGGCTTTCTCCAAAGATCTTGTAATGATGGGGAGTAAGCAAGGCCAGGAGCTGGAGGAGCTGTGTCAGAAGCATGATGGAGCATTCCACTGTGCTGCACCTTCACCTGACCAATGTAATTAAAACATACAGACAACAAATGTAGGTTTAACCAGGCAGTCCATCATCACCTCATTGTGAGGCAGGAAAGGTGTTGCTTTTCCAAGTCAGTATGTTCCCAGAGAGGAGACTGTGTACTTTCTGACAGACGCCGTTCACATTGGCAACATCAACAGGGAAGCAAGAACATTTTGCTGCATCATTTTTGTGCCAGCACCAACTTTGCCAGCCTAGATCCAACTTCTCAAAAGCCTTAAAATCCATTCTCTTTCTGCCTGAAAAGTCCTGTCATGCCTATAGAATGTGCATAAGAAAGGATGGTAACATGTGCTTGAACATCTTTGATAGTCTGAAGGAGACCTGCACTACCAGAAGAGAGATGAGGTCCCTAGTGAATTATGCAGATCACTCCAGAGTACTACAAATAATGATGATGGCCTGCACCATCATCTATTTCATGTATGCCTTCCACATCACAGAGGAAACAGCTCTGAAATTACTGAGAAAGGTTTAAACGTTTTGTTGAACCCTTTGTCTGCCACCTCAGGTTATGAATCAAAAACCAACAGGGTTTGGGATGAAAAAAAAAAAAAAAAAAAGAGCTACTCAATGCTTAAAAGCACTTCTGAAACACACCTGGAACTAATTTTTCTATGCATAAAAATCCCATAATCTGAAAACCTCTGGACCTTAGAGATGTGGAAATAAATTGAACACCCTGCTGGAACATTTCCAGTCTTGGGCAGGTCCTGTGATCCTGCAGAGCCACAGAGGAGCAGACCTAGAAACTGTCAGACAAGGCTGGATATACACTGTGTGGGTCTTGGACACTGTGTCCTAGTGATTTATCCACCCTCCAGGCTGGGGTGGATAAACAGAGGGAGGGGAGTGGGAAATTACAAGCCTGAAGAAAAGGAGAAAACTTTTTTGTCATAAGCCAATTTGTTATTTTTCCTTAATACTTTTCAAAGCATACCTTAGAAACTGCTAAAGAGTCTGCAACATTAAAATAGCTCTGGAAGGAGGAAGTTACTGTGCAGAATACTGATGAAGTGGTCAGAAAGGCACAGGACTTAACACGAGGCCCTGTCACTAATTCTCATCAGTGTGAAAGGTTTTTCTTTATTAAGGCGAAGATTACACTAAAAGTTGCTAAGGAAAAGATATTCAAGGGTCTAATGCTTTTGTAACATCCCATCTCTTTTGTATTCTGCTCTGCTCTTTCATATTCTGCCCTTTGGGGATGGATGGCAGTCAAGGATGTTTTTGCAGTCTTCTGTGCTTAGTAAAGTTAATTTAGCACAGACATTTTTCCACTCCTTATTAATTTCAATTTTCACTTCTCCATGGAAAGTTTAGCTTTCTTCATGCAGTTTTCATCCCCATATTAGGGCGAGAATTCTGTTTTTGAAAGAAATTAGATCTCTGCCTGGAAATAAAAACCTTTCTAAGTTAGCATGAAAAATGTTGCTGATTTTTTACAGTGTGAACTAAGAGGACTGACATGTTGAGAAGTTGTATTTATACAACACATTACGATGGTTTCAGGGTTAGTGATGTTTGTAACTGTGTTTATTAGATACTGAATGATGTAACTGGTCAAACTCTGCCCAGTATAAAATGGTTTACTTTGTGCAGCCATGGTACACATGTGCACACACATAAAAGCTAAGCAGAGAAGTGTAACAGGAAAGCCTAATGGGTAGGACTGGAAAAAATACCTCACAGCAGTACAGAAGGACTGGAAAGCCAGAATAAGAGAAGGGTTATTGAGAATAGCATGTTATTGGCACTTAGCCTAGCAGGCCACTAAGATGCCAATACAGCTACGTTTATCTCTTGAGGACATCCAGGCTGGGAGACAAAGAAAAATTAATAAATCCAAATGGTTCACAGAGGTGGGGCAGGATGGGGAGACTGACTGATCACAAGTAGCCCCCAAAAGGTATAAAAATGGCACTTCCAAAACTAGCAGTAAGGTCCCCAAGCTAAGAAGCATGCAGGAAATGTGAGGAGGACACAAGCACCAGCACCCCTTGTCCTCTGTGTCATCACAGAGCATCCCTGGCTGACCTGTTGGACACAAGTTTCACGGTGCCCCAGCGCTGGGCTCAGGCACTTTGGTGATTCAGTATGTGGATAAAGGAGCGTCAGTGAATGACAAGTTTCAAAACCTGTCCCCTCCCAAAAGCTTTTGTACGGGCACTTGCAACATTGTAGAAACAGGCACTGCAGAAAGGAGCATTGCAAGGTCCCATGCACTACCACTGCATTCCTCTTGAAAGAAGCATAAACCATTTTTGTTCCTTTAGAATTCCTGCCCTTTAAGTTAGCTGATCTTCTACCTCATCCTCTATACCCAGGACACCATCTCCAAGTTTCCCAGTGCCGCATCAATTTTAACAACCACAAAGTACTACTTGGAGGACAATAATTCTGTATTTTATGTCGTTTCAGTGGCTGAATCATACTCTCTAATCTTTTTGAAGACAACACTAGAGCAGTATTTGCACCATTTCTTTAGGGTCCTGTGGAACAGAAGTGTAGTTGGTGAAACAGTGAATAAGACTGGAATGGTAAAAAGGACTATGACAACCTTGTGTAGTTGCACAGAGACAAGGAAACTAAAAACCTCTTGTACTCTATGGCAAAGCCATTCTGATGGGAGGTATTAAAATCTTTAAGCATTGCAGAAATTGTGAAGAGCAAACTACAGATTAATCCTTAATGGCTTTAAGGCCATTAAGTGTAGCATTTTTTCAAGCTTAATTAAGGTGGTAGAGTTCTTATGAGGAGAGGAACAGGCAGCTGTCTTCAACACTTCCAAGGCTATTACGACATTCTTTTGAAGCAAATTACTCAGAAACTTGCTCCATGACAGAATCCTACTCCAATGTAGACAATGTCTTCCATCAGGCTGCAAGGTCAAGCTTTCAGGAGACACCTTGAGTTCAAACTCTCTGGTACAACACCTCTGTCACACATTGAGGAGCCAGTGTAACAAATAATAAATTTCTTTTATTGCTGCTTTGTAATATAAAATGATTACATCCATGATTCCACAGTAAGGGGCAGTAAAAAAAAAACAACAAAACCATCTGAGTAAGAGGAATGTGATGTAAGCAAGTCATTTTAAAACAAGGACCCACCAGAATGTTTTCTAAAAGTCCCTTCCTATGACACTTCCCTTCCACAGCTCCATCTTACAGTGACATTTGTGTAGCCTGCTCTGTGACCAGTGCTAGGGTGGCCAGAAAGAATGGTACAGACATTGTCACCCATGTGCTAACACAGGAGTTAAATCTGGAAATAGAGTTAAAAAAATAAAAAAAATCAAACCTCTACAGCAGAACATGGATTAAACGCTTTCTTTCCTCTCTGGCTCTAAATACCACTGAATGGGACTCATGAAGTAGGGGTGTTCAAGGCCAGGCTGAGGTGGCAGACTTCTTCCAGGCCCAGAGAACATTCTGCACTGCAGCTGGCCTGAGAGAGGAGTTCACACAGTCCCTTGTGCCACTGGACACAGCAGCACTTCCAGACAGTTCTTTCCAAGGGCACAGATGGTGGCTACAAGGACAGTGTGTTAGACTGAGGTGGGATTTCTCACCAAGGAGACACATGATGAGAGACTAGGACACCACTAGGTTTTGCTAAAACAATAATTACTGTCGGGTATGGAACAAGAGCCCCAAGCAGCCGCTGAGTCTCCAGGTAGATGGATAATTTTAAGTATATGCCCTGCTTTATCTTCAATCACAAGTTCAATTACCCTGTCCTTGCACATGGGAAACCAAGAGTGAGTATCTGAAAACAAACTTAACCATACTGGTCTTACTGGTGAACTGTCCAGGCTCTTCCATCCACCAAGAATGCACCATGCCAGTTAACCAAAAGAGACGTTTGAACAAGATTGTCCTTCCCCACCAGGAAGTGAGATCTTCAAATGTCTCCTTCAGCTCCCTCCAGGAAGGAAAAAAGGCATTTTACTGGTGACAGGTCCAGGTGATACAGTCCCACTGGATGAGGATGCACTCTGCAACCTCCTCTGTCCTCTCTGAGCTCACTGACTCAGCGTCGCATTTGCTGGGCCTTGCTGCGCCTGCCTGAAGACAAGCTCCTTGAGTTGATCCAGTCTGCTGTCCCTTAAGGCATCCTGAATGGCACTGAAGAAACCAAAGTAGTGCTGGAAATTGTGCATCATGAGCAGGACACCGGCCAGCAGCTCGTTGGTCACCAGGAGGTGATGGACGTAGGCACGAGTGTGCCTCTGACAGCAGTAACAGCTGCATCCTTCCAGCAAAGGGCCAAAATCATCGTGGTATCTAAGGAAGAAGCAATGTTGGGTAACATCAGAGCTAAGAAGACCCATCCAAGCAATAAAAAGTACCCCTGTAACCACCTGGCCTTTTTCAGGGACCTGAGCCTTAAAGCCCTGAGGTCCTTAATCCAGATTTGCTGACAACTCAGACCAGCACCACTGGCACAAAGGACTACAGGTATCAGAGATGGTTTGGGTTGGAAGGGACCTTAAAGATCATGTAGCTCCCACACCCTGCCATGGTGTGGGACCGCGGCTACTGAAAGCCCCAGGCCTCCTCATGCTAGAACTCACTTCAGAGCCAAGAGGCTATACATTTAAATCAGAATAACTCTGACTACATCAGAGCTAACAGCAGAGAGAGGCCTCCTCTGTGTCTTCCCTGGCAGGAAAGCTGCAGTGCAAGACAGCTGTCACAAGGTTTATAAAGGAGAAAGTCACCAAAACCACAGATTTACTAATCCCCCTATTCACAAAACAGTATTCTGCTCTACTGTGAGATGCACCATTTCACTGAGAGAGCAAAGCAACACAATTGTCTCCTCAAGACAGCCTGGAAGTACCTGTAACAAAAAGAAGGAAGGACAAGTCGTAACATTGGCCAAAGTTTTTGTGAAGTGTCCAGAAATGGCAGAACTGCTCTGCAGCTGCCCAAACTGAGTCAAGAGAGTAGAGGGTCTCCACAGTTTAAATAAAATCTAGTATCTCAAGATGACCAAAGTTAGATGTGGAAGACCAAAGTGATTCCCAGACCACCTCTGTGAACCTATGGTCTTTCAGCTGAGACATAATTATGACCAGAGAACGTTTGCTGGATAAATGATCAGAAAACCCCTGGTTCTAGGTCAGGCAAAGGACAGCGCTTTCAGAGATAGGCTGTTGCCTGGTAACAAGCTAGAATGCTTGTCCAACACTCTACACTCAGTGTCCAGAAGTACTCTCTTCAACAGCTTCATGTTTTATGAAGTCTCTCATCCAGCTGCTGACCAGCTGCAAATAAATACAGAGGACAAAGCATCATATTTAGTCATAATGCTGCAGGTACCCTCCTCACAAATTCACATACTTTTTATCCTTCAGAGATATCTCAAATGGTGTCATTTCTGGGTCAGCTTTGGAGACATCCTCCTGGTCTTCTTGAGCACCATTCTTCTCCAGGTCCTGGGTCCCATTTTGTGTTAAAACTGATTAAATTAAAAAGACAACAGCCTTAGAACAGAGGGCAAGGGCAGAGCAAGGGTATTAGAGTAGATATTTCTGCTACTTTCTTGCCAACTGAAAATTCCTGCTGCAAGTTTCCGCCTCTTTCTTCTAGAAAGCAGATATTTTACTTTAATTGCTGTAGGATAGTTAACACAAATACACTTTTAGATGATCAAAACAGCAAGAGACAAGTGAAACTAATAAACTAAAACTAATCAAAAGTAAGAGCTGAAACAACAGTATAACTTTTTGCTGCTCTACTGAGCTGAACTCTTTATAAATTGTCAAAAGTATTTTGTCTGAACTGCATGCTGAATAGAAAGCAATCACCTGAACAAATGGATTTTATTGAGATTTTGTTAGAGTAGACAGACAACTCATCTGCATTCAGTCATTCTGCCTTCCATGCTGTGATCACTCAGGGATTTAGATGCCTCTTGTTTTTTTTTTAAAAAAAAACAAACCCTGGAATCAAAATAGGCTGGTAGCACTAATTCATAAGAGGTAGGTTCCACACCTGCCTTTTCAGCATCTATCTGAAAAAATAAAGAACCATCCCATGATTTTATAGGTTTGCATTTTTAAGTTTGTTCTTCAGGAGAAGGAGATGTATCTGGAAATACCAATATTACTGTTTGCATCATCCATGCCTACTGTGTTTAAAACGGACACAGGACAAAACCACTGCCATTACCCTTATTAAAGCCTTATAATTTAAGAATAAAATAAGACAAGATAAGGAACAACAAACAAAGAAAAGGGTTAAAAAAATAGCAGCAAGCACAAAGAAACAAGATGTTCTGTTCCATTCAGCTGGCTCTGAATTATCTAGGCATGAAAAGCCACTCGGTTCTACCCAAGAGAAAAAAATGTAAGATGTTCCCCTGTATTAAAAACATTTAATAGGCCGAAACAAAACAGCTGCTTGAAAGACATTTGATAGGTGCTTTAATGGGTGATACACATTCCCATCTCACAGTGTAATCAGTTATGAACAGAGCATTTTGGTTTTGATATAAACCTATGCATGCAAGGATAGAGAGGAAAACTGCCCAAATAAATGGGAAATTTCTGACAGCCAGAAAAAGAACTTCAAAAACATATAACTACAACAGACACATATTAATTTAATTCTAGAGATAGCTTAATAGGTCCAGCCTTTAGTGCTAATGGTAACAGAAAACTTGCCTATTGTTTTAAACTAAAACCCCTCTATTCAAGATGTGTTTAAGAAATGTTTAATCATCACATTTTGGTTAATGAGACATTCAGAGGCCTCAAGTTTTACTCAACAGATTTCACACCAAAGCACCCCACCTTCAACAACATGTGGTAGTGGAATCCCAGCTTTTCCAGTGGTCACTGCACTTACTTATTTCAGGAACAAAGCCCTCAGATACAGATTCCTCCCAACTATGAATTATGCTTACCACAATATAAAATGTAAAAACTGTAACAACCACCAAGAAGTGTACCTGTTGCTTCAGGATCTGGGTGGCAGTCGTAACTGAACACCAAGGCACAGCCTCGCTCCGTCACTTGGAAGGGAAAGAAGCTCTCAAAAATGTCCACTCCTCTTTCAATGCACTCAAGCACCTCATCTGGTTTGCCTACACCATGAATGATTCTGTAGGAGACACACAGGAAGATGAATCTACAATATTCTGAGTAGAAGCAAGCAGGTGCCTGAAGGAAAGGACCTCCAGGTCCAAGCACATGTAGCTTATCTCTGCAACTGCTAAGAGTCATCACTCAGAACTCCCTGTGCTTCCACTTCCCCACCTCCAACCTACCCAGTACATAACAGGCTTTTCATTATGTGCCCTTTGGAAGACAGCAATAATCCCTCATTTACTGTGGAAAAACCCCATTCTGTTCATTGTGTTTGAAGTGATTTGTAAGTGATTTCTTTCACATACATGTAAATACAACAAGATTCATAACATCTGTGCCACAGAACAGGTATTTTCCTTAACCATGTTTGTGCCCCAGTGAACTACCAGACACATGGACCCTTTTGTTTGTTAGCTGTTTAGAAGAAGGTCTAGGGAGCAGGAGATACCTGGTCAAAGATACAAGTCCTTCAGGTGACAGACACATCCTATTGCACCTGGAAAACTGCCTGGGGGAGAATGCACTAATGAAAACTGTCACTAGAAAGAGAAAACCTCCTTACTTCAGTTTTCCCTTCTCTTTACACTCTACCTGCTCAAATGATTTACCCAAAAACGTGGGCTGTAACATCTCCTGAGACATGGCATTAAGAGCCAGGAAGAGCCTGGCTGGATTGCCATCAATGGTAATAGAGATCCTGCTGGCAGCCAAATTTAGTTGGCAGCTTCACCAAGGGTGGGTGAAGAGTAAGAGAGTACAGCAGTGCCTGCTCTCCTGCAGGTGCATGGCTGGGCTGAAAGCAGTAGAAGTTAATGTAGGGCAATGAGCTAAACAGATAATTAGGAAAATACACAGGGGCTGATAAATGAAGTCACAAGGTGCCATTTTTAGTCACTTTTCTAAGTACTCCAATTAAATTGATGAGCACAGAATAAGGATAGGAGAACTTTACAGCATGAGTGTTTTATGTTTCAGGTTCCCATGACAGGGAGAAAATTATATGCAAAAGTCAAAACAGTAGCTCTGCATATATGATCAAAGCTTTGCTGAAACTCATCTCTGCAAGGTAAGGACAAACATTTGCTCTTGCAAGGGTTCCTATACTATTGGAAAGGAAAACTAATTTTATCAAGAGACTTCAGCCCCTTTAGGTACATGAAAGGACTCTTCATAAAGAGTACATTCATAAGATCATTTTACCATCACACAAAAAGCACAGAAAGTGTTTTTCTTCTAGAGAATTTCATGCTGGGTTAGAACAGAGCTGGTAAACAGCTTCTCCAGCCAGAATGGCAAGGGTGATTCAGGAGCAAGGACTGTCTGAAATTCACTTGAGGTACTTCCAAGACCCCCAGGGGCTAACCAGCTCTCTTCCTACCAAGAGTTCAGAAACACTTGTCTTAACAAGACAAGCAAACTATTTGATAGATGAGGCAGATGCACTGGTAGCCACTGAGGTTAGCTGAGCAGATTGGACTCTAATGCTCCCAGGGGATCTTTTAAGTAGCTCAACCAGACAGGATAGCAACAACACAGCAAGCCTCCTAATTGTCAGGAAAATTCAAACCCCAGGCACCACTAAGCAAGAAAAAGCTGCAATACCAGACACAGTGCTCTTGCGTTTAATTTCCTTTTAAACACCATTATGTCAGAGCAATGCTCCGTTAGCAAAGGGAAGCAGGAACACAATGGGGCCTCAGTCATTCTCTTCAGGAAATGATGAAAAAAGCAACCATATTATTTCTGTAGCAGTTGCTCTGGTAAGAGCAATCCAGCAAGCTCAAGCCAATAAAAAAACCCTCTATACTTGGGAACCATTAGCAAGTATTAGCACACATTTTCAAGAAGTCTTTAGTTACTGCTAGTCAGTTATAAGGATCAAGAAAGATGCCACTCCTGTCCAGTCCTCGGCATGGGTCTGATGGGCACAACAACTCAGATATGCAAGAAGCCCCACACTGTCCAAGAAGAGAATACTAATGTTCTGGGCTAGCCTACACCAAAACCCCGGGTAGTGCACAGGCTCGGTACCTCAGGTACTAGGACAGAGCTGGCTACTAAGGTCGTGTAGGAAGCACTGATTGATTCTGCCAGCACCCCTCTCTGCCATCTGTCAGTTCAGGCCAGAGAGAACTGGAAACACGACAGTTTTACTGGGGAGAAATCCCTGCTAAATATCTTGATAACAATGTTTTTGTTTGAGCTGAACTTCAAGTAAGCCATGGCCTCCAAGACCAAATGCAAGTAACCCTGAATATCCTACCTGTAACTCTTCCTAAACACTCTTCCTCAAACCCACAGTATGAGCAAAGCCTGGTGCCAGTTGCAGCCAAAAACTGAAACAAGTGTTGAAGACTGCAGTCTGACAATGGTAAAATTTATGCAGCCTGGCACACACAGAGCCGTGCAATACAGCGATTATTCCTACAGGGAAACTGCACAACAGCCTGTAGATGCTCCTCATAATAGGACAGATGTATTTCTTGGGGTGTTGCCCACACAACTTACCTTGGTTTATCCTCTGGCAGCTCTGCTGTGACAGAAGCTATCAGTTTCAACTTGGTTTCCTTGGCCATGGCACTTCCCTGGAAGCCATCGAGCAGAAAGCCACCGACAGGCCGCTTGGCAGTCTCCCTGGCTGATCTGAGCCTCTCTTCCAAGACATCTCCACCTTCAATTGCCCCAAACATTACACTTCCTTGTAGTTCCTGCCCCAGGAGAAAGCTGCAAGTGTTAGAGCATGCTCTGCCAAAGACATGAAAGACATCTTACAGCCGAGGCTTCAGATGTCTGCTACTTAAGCCCCACATTCTCAGAAACTTGGCAGAACCATGGGGTTTCATCTCATGTAAGACTATTCCCCACACAATACTGTAAGAAATGTGTAAGAAATGGGACTAGCAGAGACAAGATTCTGCTCCTTGCCTTGACACTAACTCAGTGAGAATTTTGATGCCACTCTTCCCACCTCCCTACAGAAGGCAATAACCACACAGAATCGCTGTACATGACTTTTTATGGATGGGGTCTCAACAATAGATGAGTTGGTGCAAAATACAAAGCAGGTACCAGTATCCTGTCTGGTCAGACACCAGATGTCACAGGGAATTCCCCTTCAGGAGATACAAACACCAACTCCTGTCACCTGTTTTCCCACCTAGAGCAGACTCAGATAGTATGTCTCCTTTCATTAAAAGGAAGTTTCAAAGCTGCTGGAAGAAATAAAGAATAGCACTGACTAATTCTATAAAATCCTCCCTCACTTGGAACTAAGAGGACTTCAGAGCAAAAAGATGGGTTTTCTCAATTTGAGTAAGAAGATTCCACTTTGCCCATACATCCAATAACAAGGTAAGTGAAAGAAACGCATCACAACGCAAAAGCAGAACGAAAAATCCTAAAATGTAGCTCTCCTCAACTAGTAGAGATGAGGGGTGATCCTGGTGCAGGAGACAATTTACTAAAAGAAGGAAGGAAAATTCATTGTGCTACTGGTTATACCTAACTCTGAACTGTAAGCTGAGCATTCTCTGATACACAAATGTGACACAATTCCCTACTAAATCCCATCCTGGGGCTGCTCCAGGATGCAGCACAGACCAAGAAACACATGCAGTGATACTCCCTCAGTATCTTGGGGACCTTACCGGTGACTTTTCTTGCAGTTGAAGGCATATATCCAAGAAGGAAAGAGACCTATCCACAGACTTCTTGGCTCTTTTTCTGCCAGCTTCCCCAGAAATGGTGTCTCCATCAGAGATGCACTGGAACCAGTCTGGCTGGATGGCCCGCTGGATGTCCATGAACTTGGAAGCTGTCAGTTCCATGCGCCCTGAGCTTCCCCACAGGGAGACCGCCTGTACAGGAAGAACAGGGATGAACAGCAGTTGCAAAGGACAGCAGATTTTAAGGGTGAAAGGAGAGAAGGAATTGCTCTGGTGAAACACCAGATACTGGAATGATAGCTCATTAGATAAGTTCCCCTGGAGCAGGGCTCAAATAATCAGCTGCACTTGGCACAATGAATGAAAGGAGATAAATGACTGAACTGGAATTTCTAAGATACTCTTTGGTGAAACCATTCCACTCAACACTGACTTCGCCTCGTTTAAAAATCTGACATAGAACTGCTGGCCTCTCATCACACAAATTAGTGGCAGAATTGGGAAAAAACACTAAAAAAAAACCTTTGACTTCCCACCTAATTTGTTGTCTAGTAAGCAGAAGGTTATAAAAAGCAGCAAAAGCTGCAATGGCAGATACAAGTTGCTAATTTTCTGTACAAAATGCAAACCCAAGAAACTACTTCCTCTTCTGAGCACTTAGCTCATACAATACACATAAATGTATGTGTTTATATAAACCATACAGACTGGGAAGAAGACAAAACTAGTTAAGCACTCACTCTTAGAACCTAATGTTATTTTAAGTCCCAAATCCAGCAACTCTAGAAAGCACTGAATATCCAAACTGAGACAACATGCTCATTAAGATTTCACACACAATCTTCCCTGTTTTTTCCCATCCTGCCAGCACACATGGGACCCAATCCTCCATTTTTATTCTGTGATACCCTCAAAAGAATTTAAAGCAAGACAAAAGCACACGGACAGAGTGGTTATCTTACCTGAACACCTCCAGGCTAGCAGATGTCAACATTCAATTCACTAAACATTCAGATTCACAAAATGTTCACATTTTAGCCTATTTTGCAGAATCTGTAATTAACCTGTGAGTGCAGCTTGGCCATCACTTTGGTTATATTATTATCAGGCTTGTGAAACTGCTGCTCCAAAACTTTAAAGGGGTACTCAAGTAGATTAAGTAAAGGGCTCAAGTCCTTTGGAAGTCAGCTCTTTTCATCTACAATTCTGTTCATGCTTTTTTTAAATGAGAAAGGGTTTTCAGCCATCAGAAACAGTATATAGCTTGGAGTGTTATGGGCACTTTTTGGGGCCTGAGGGTTTAAACACATTCTCCTAGCCTATGCCAGACAGACAGATTAAGCAGTGCAGTCCTCATGCATACTAATTTGCAAATTGAATTTCATCAGCAGATGCAAAAAATACAAGCAGAAGCATATTTATTTTTTTTTTTTGTCTGGTCTCCACAAAGACCCAAAAGGATTGCACAAGTATGCCATGTGACTGTTGTCCATCTATTCATCATTCTGATTACTTCTGGCCTTATCAGCCAATTTTGCTAAATTTGAATAAAACCAGAAGTCTCCAAAGCAATAAATTTTTTTGCAAATTTCCAACTGGTAAAAAGAGCAACTCCAAAAGGAGTTGCAAAATTTGCATCTACAGAGTAACTGAAACATAGCAGCTGTGTGTTGCTCTGCAGCAGCATTTTGTTCAGACAGTACCTGCTGCCTCTTATTGTGAGGGCATCAAGAACAGCTGGTGAAGGCAGGCAGAGGAAAGTCAGAGTTGTCTGAGCCAAAGGGCAGAGTGTTATCACATCTAGTTACCTTCATTCTGTTCTTGAGAGGAAAAAAGCTGCTTTAATAAACAAAACAGCCATGCAGCTTAGAGAGCTGAGCATTATCCTGTGATTATTTAAATCCAGCCAGTGCTAGGCTTTCTGGAACAGAGCTTTCTGTCCCATTGCTTTCAAAAGTATTTGTCAGCACAGATCCAGCTGCAGAAAGCCTTACAACAAGGTGACAAATATCTTCACCAGCTTATTTAAGAAACCCAAAAAAGTCTGAATCAAATTCCCAACACCCATGCTTAGATTGCTGCTTTCACCTCAAAGCTGCACAACAGTGGGACAAAGTAATCCCTTCCCTGCAGAGAGACAGACTCAGCCTGGATCCCAGCAGCAAGGAATATACACTGACAGCTGTATGGCAGGAGCTATCCTCTGTCACTCAGTGACCTTCCACCAAATGTGGCCATACCCAAACAGGCCTTGGGACTGAGTGTATCTGAGCAGGTGCCAGGAGCTCCAGCACAGAGCTGCGTCAGGCAGCAGGCAGTGTGTGGATTGCACAGGCAGTGTGTGTGCCTGTGTGGTGGAACCAGCAAACTCCTGGATTGCTGAGACACCCTCCTGCAAAAATTCTGATGTCCTTTCCCTTTGTGAGCCTGTAGCAGGCTGTGTGTAAATACACACACAGGGGTTCAGATTTACTGTTTATCAGTGGTATGAGAATAAGCTTCTATAGCAAATATGCCAAAACACAGGTATTTTCTTTTACTGTCATTCAAACCGCAACAGCATGGTAGTCCAGAGCTCTCCTTTCTACCTGAATTGCTACTTAACTGCTCAGGAACCATTCAGGGAACATGCTACCAAGTAAGAACATGAACAAGCTTCATTTAGTTGGAGGTATGAGCATGTAAATAAATGACAATCCTCTTTGTGCAAGGATTTATTTTGCTAATCTTGTGGCTGTCTGAGCATACCCACAGAGATGAAGGGAGCACTGCCAGATTTCTTTTGGGAGCTTTAAGAGGACCCTTTCAAGTCTTTAGAGCTACTGTACCTTGTTACTATTGTAGCCAGAGGGGCACAGAGTGACTGGGTCATGAAGGGAGCAGTAGAGCACAGCATCTGGCATACCTGAAAACAGAGAGACAGATCCAGAGCAGAGTTTCATGAACCAAAGCAAAGTTAATGCAAAAATGTGGCCTGCAGATCTGCAAAAGGGAAAAGGGTATTGTCCCCGACACAAGTACATCCATTCTGATGAAGAAAATATTGTTCATCTATCTCTCAGCACCAAAGAAGGCAGACTTCTTCCCCAGCTTTGCTAACTACTCTTGGAGAAGAGTGCAGCAGCAGGAGAAACCATGAAACAATACCCTTTGGTTCTGCAGCCTGCATAGATGCTCTGGGATTTATTTATGTTTCTTCTTGATTAATACTCCACCTATTAAAATTCTCCAGACCCAATAGTTGACTCACTTGACCACTCAACTGATGACTGATACACTGGAGACACAATCCAAACTAGCAACAATCCCAAGCCTAGGACTTTTAAGGAAGGACAAAGTAGAATCATGGAATGGTTTTGGTTGGAAGGGACCTTAGAGATCATGCCCCATGGGTAGGGACACCTTCCACTAAGACCAAGTTGCTCAAAGGCCGATCCAGCCTGCCCTTGAACATTTCCAGGGATGGGGCACCCACGAGTTCTTTGGGCCACTTGCTCAAGTGGCTCACCACCCTCCCAGAACGGAACAGGAGGAGAGTGAGAGAACATATCAACTACACAAATGAGAAATTTATCATCCCTGCCAGACTGGAGGTTTCATGTCAGAAAGCTAGACAGTATGTCTCAGTGACAGACAGCCTTCTCTTCAGAGACAGCCACTGAAACAGACAAAGCCTCCAGGAAGTTCTAGACCAATACATTTTTCAATTTTTCTTAAAAGAGTAAATTGCTCTAAACAGGTAAAGTTTATTGAAAGTTGGATGCAAACTTCCTTTAGAAAGCCAAACCACAATTATTTTATATATAATGAAATGCATGTCCCAAATTTCCATGTGCTTTTTAAAAACCTAGAACAAATAAAACAAGCTTTGGCAACTCGTGGTTTTTTTTGGTTTTTCTTCTGGCAAAATGTGCTAGATTCTATACACAAAGAAGTGTATAGAATTATACACTTTCTGTGAATTATAGAAATTACAGACACATCATCACTTTGTAGCCTGATTGAAAGATTTTTGGCTATACTAGTGACAACATACTATTTCAAGTCTTCCCTAGTACCACTCTGAGTGAGAAAATCCCTAAATGTGCAAAGCTTACATATTTCTGCCTACTGTACTGCCTGAACATGCTCTAGTGGGATCAACCTGCATAATGTCTTAGATATACAAGCAAATACTTGTACTTTACCCATAAATTTTGCAGCTCCTTCTTTATACTCTTCCAGAACATCATGCATTTCTGCCCTGCAATCCAGATATAGGAACACATTAACTAAGCAGACAACTGTCTAAAGAGTTTGGTGGTTTCATAACTAAGGCTTTTTTTTCCATACTTATGCGTTTTTTTACACTGAACTGGTATTTGCCATCCAGCTGTCAGGCAGTGAAGCAGGGATAGATGTGGAATGCCAGAGTCACAGAGGTCAAGAATCACAGCTCACAACCTGGGGCACTCATAATTCTGTGGCAATAAAGTAAAGCTTTTACCTGCACTGACCAGGGCCCACTGAGTTGATGGAGAGCACGAAGCTAGACTGTGACTTTTGGGGGGGCATTACTAATGTGTTCACATCATTCAACAACTGCACAAGCTTTACCATGTTAATCTTTCCTTTCAGTTGCAACTTCACTAGTTTTGAGAGTTAGTTGCTGCTCCAGTTTTCCCTTAAATGTTTTCAGGTATGGGGTACCTAACACTGCTCTGGGCAAGCTGGTCCAGTGTTTCACCACCCTCATTACAAGCGATACGCTCTTACAGTTTACACCCATTACCTCTTATCCTACCACAACAGGCTCCGATAAAAATCTGTCCCCATCTGTCCTATAATCCCTATAATAACACCAGAAGGCTGGTAAAAGGTCTTCCTGGTGCCTTCTCTTTTCTAGGCTGAACACCCCTGTATCTCTCTGCGTGTTGTTACATGAATGATCCTCCAGCCCTCCGAGCATCTTTGTGGCGCTCCAAAGGACCCTACAACCCCACATCTTTCTTATGTTGCGGGCTCCAGAGCTGGATGAAGCACTCTCGGTGGGGTGTCAGTAGAGCAGAGGGGCAGAATCAGCCCCCTCGCCCTGCCGCCCACCTCAGGAAAATGACTGCGAAGTCACCACGATCACCAAACGATGGGTTTGGCCTAAACACGCTAAAAATCACGCAGCCCTCCAGCTCCCTTCCCCTCACCTGTCCTACCCCGCCCCTGCACCTCCCTCGGACGGGGAAGGGTACTCACAGGGCGGGCAGGGCGATGTGCGCCACGCCGGGCACGCCGCGCACCTCCCGCAGCGTGTCG